CGAATCCCAACTTCGATTTCCTGGGCCTTGTCCAGTTCACTTTAACATCCTGTGTTTAAAGATTGTTTTCAAAATGATTTAAATACCCGAGTTTTAAACTGCTGCAGCTTTGCAGCCCAAGGGCTTTTGGTCTAATTAAACGCAAAACCCATTCGTTGTTGTACCTTAATGAGCGTCAGTGTATATATAAGTTTACTTTGCAAATAAAGGTCGAAGGTGCAAAAATCAATAAACGAGCCCCATAAGCGAGTCATTTAACAGAAATCAACTGATCAAACTTAAAAAAATGATTTGCTCATGGCCCATAAGGAATATTTCAAATAATGTAGAGAAGATGATGTGGAAGAGTACTGGTGGTGACCAGCACTTAAGTGGAAAAACAGATTAATAAAACAGTACTTTTTTTTTAAAAAGACAATGCCACTGAACCAAATAAGTACTGTCTTCAAAAGTATTGTTAAGTCTGCAAGCCTCATCGAGGAACCAAATCATTTTATAAATCCATTTTTAAGAAGTTGTAACTAAATCTCACTCAATGGTGAATTGAAAATGAATGTGCAGATCAGTTAAGGCGAATGTGAAGAACATATTTATCATTCTAGTTCAACATCTGTTGAAAACTAGTACACACACTTTTTTCACCCAATTTTAAATATGTTTGTATTTTCCTTCCGATTTCCCTTGCGTTACTTTAGATGAAAAAAATTTCATCACTTCCTCATGCAGAAGTTCAATTTGACAGGAAATCACCTTGACGACAACCTTAATTAGTTGACTTAGTGAACTCTTTGACTATCATTTTTTGATTCTGGGCACAACTCCTCTCCTTAATCCCCCAATTTTTATAGGCCTAATCACAAGAAACTTTCTGAAATATAGAACACCAAGGATAAAAAATGTGAACATAACCTCTGGTGAAGTTGGGGGTAAATTATTCACTTGCATTAAGAAATTTCGTACAGCAACTTTGTAGAGGGTGTTATTCTGGTCTTTCCAATTTAATTCAAAGAGATTAACATAGTGATAGGAGGCAGATCCAAACCAGAGATTCATCCTTGTTTAAGTGATAACACCGACTTTTGAATTCACATGAATATTGAACCCCATTCGTTGAAACACCAGATGTAATGGCATTGTAAAAGAAAATAAAAGATTACAGTATCGAAAATTATATATAACAACAATGGTGAACACCGCTGCAGGGATTCAACCTGTCAAAACAAATTACAACAGAGGAACTCTTAAGTTAGCTGAAGCTTCGTCAAGCAGTCATGGTTTCTTTTAGATACATGTTTTTCCTTTATTAGTTTCTTATAAGCTTATATTTACATTGATCTAGTCATTCATTTCATATAATTACCGTAATAATAATAATAATAATAAATGATTCAGAGCCAGCGATGCTATTTAAGATTGGGAAATGTACTAAGAAACTTACGTTCAGCTTTTTACAAACAACTTAGAAACAGACCAGAAGAAAGACGTGGCGATTTTATTCAAGTGGGAGAAAACATCTGTCAGGCAAACCTATTGAAGGCTCAACTAAAGGAGGTTAGATGGAGCACGAAATTAACTTAAATTTAGAGTAGATACGGATGACTACGTGACAGATGTGACCAGACTAGATATCAGGTGCAGTACTGATTTAAGATCAGCCCCAACCCCCTATGGGTTGTCGACTCGAGTCACAACTACTTTTAAATGGCGACACTTTAAAGAGTTGTGTCCTTTCACAGGCGGAAGATGTTATTCTCTTTTTTTTGTTTTAAGCAGCCCATTCACACGCCTTGTGATGTTAGCGCAGACGTTTTCCATTTTTGGATTCGTCGTCCTCAATAATTGTCTTTTCTGTAAAAAAGCCAGCATTTAATTTACATGCACAGAAGCAGACTTGGACAATTCTAGAGGGTCTTTATAACGGACCGAGTAAACTCTTTATTAACAGAGAAAGTGGATGACTTAGAAAGACTGCTGCTGCAAAGCCACAGCAACATTCAACTTTTAAATCATCAACAAGGCGTCAAGTACCTGCAATGCGCTATCATAAACAAACTAATTGGTTGATTCAGTTGTAGGTTTCCTCAAACTTTTATCAACGTACAAGCGTTCAACACAGAGACGCTACTGAACCATTGTTTATTTAGGCAAAATATCAGTAAATGCCAACTAACCCAGACTGGCTGGTTTCACGTGGTACGTTGATTCGATTCACTCCACATACCATGTTATATTTGAAGAATAAGCGGTTTTCGGGCTAACTTTCATTTCGGATAGGGTAACCCAGAAAAACTTATGATCTTTTCCGAAAAAAATATTTGTTTTAAAAATTGGGCCACCACTTTTTGTTCACTGTTTTACGTAAGTCGTTAACTCTAAGCAGGAAAATGTCCTAATTGGGGCTGAAATTGTTTTCCAAATTTTGCAAGACTCGGTTTTTATTAACCTCCTATAAACGGTTTTTAAATGTCGACAATGCAGACAGAGACGTTGTTCTACGTTGGCCTCGTCTAATCTAATTTTCTAAAGTTAGTAGAAAACCTTAACTTTTGGGCTCTTGCTATTGTCTTCTTCTTATTTTTCCACTTGTAAGTATTTAAAAAGATATCTTCATTTACAAAACTTTAGGAAACTCTGTTCATAATTTTCTTTACATTGGCACTTTTAACCGCAACTAATGTCAGATAATGTGTTTGTGATGTCATTTTAAATTCTAAACTATGCATTATTAACAAATAAGACCAGCCAAATGCAAAATCAATTAAAAATTACTCGAACTCAAACCCTTCATTAATGTCGCTGATGCTGGTTCATACATAACTAAAGGCTGGAAAAAGCCTAAATACAAAATCGAACCCTGAACCTGAGTCCATAAGGCGACGTTGTGCGAAAAATGCTTCATTCTCTCATGATTACGCCTAAACATTAAAACATAAATATCCGTCGGAAGACTTTATTGAATCCAGGCATTGGTTTAAGAAAGATTTAATCACCGTTTTATTACACTTAATCACTACAGAGAAGGTATTATAATCTTAATTGATGACCAGTTGAAATTCAATCGTCAGTGTCTTCAATGTCTTCCTTACCACCTCGTCTCAAACTCAGCATGTTTTTCTCTGACTCTGCAATTAAAAATCGCCGGGTCTCAGATAAACAATTGTCCAAACTTGTTTTTAATTTCATGACAGGTAAGGGAATCTCACGAGATTTGTTTAATAGTGATCGAAAACCCTGAAAACTCGATAGAGCCACGTGCGGAGAATATTAAAAATGTGGCACTTTTGTGTGCTTGAAAAAAAGAAATAAATTGTTTGTGAACCTCAATAACTTATGTAGTAAGCCAAGTGTCAGTCATGGCAAAAAACGATAAATTTTTAATTGGGCCAAAGTTTTATTGTTTTGCTGAATAGAGAGCTTCTTTTCTATTTTATTTCTAAAATAAGAATAAGAAATGAAGTTTAGAGACTACACTGCTTGGCTTACATTCACGAGTTATTCATAAAACATGAATGCAATTAGCCACGGAGGTATTGAGTACAGATGTTCAATTATTTAAACTTACATCTTACAAGTCTTGAGTAAAATAAATAATAAATGAGCTCCACGGAGAGCTCATTTTGGAAAAATCGCAAAAACACCGATACGCTAAGTAAACTTCGTGCAGTCATATGCTAAAACATCACCTTAAACCAGGGTTTTGTAACAGACCAAACCAATGCATCTAGAAGTTTGCTTTCTTAGTATTTAAATTATTTTTAGGTATCTTCTTATGGTTACCATGTGTTGAGGAATGTTTTATGGTTGATCTGAGGACAATCACGTTTGATATTCCTCCCCAAGAGGTAAGCTCTGGCTCTGTTTGTTTAACATTTTCGCTCTTCCAAATCCCATCAGTTTAACATGAAAGCACTAACAGTCGGGCCGCCTGACTTTTATGGCATTGAAATCCTTACAGTGATGAAGCAAGAATGTACACTGAGCCTTTTATAGGCAGTTCCCAATTCATGCATCAAGATATTTAACAACCCGATTTAATTCAGCAAAAAAACTTGCATTTCATTTCAAAGTGCCTGCTTGTTTTTGGTACAATAATAAAGGTACAAAAAAGCTTAACAGACCACCTTTAAAATTCGATTGAGCACAGAAGGCAGAAGACTTCGGTGAAATTCATAGGAGTTTAGAAGTAGATCAGGCATCTGGGTTTATAAGCTTGTAAGTATAGATTTTCATGAACATGCATCCATCAATTTCACCTAAAATCATTGATTTAGCGGGCAAAGTTAGAAAATAGACGAAGCATACAAGAAATCGGTGTGTATGTGAATGTAGTGCAAATTTTAAAAACTGTACATCACATCGTCAGCTAGCTCAATTCAATTAATATTCCTGGGTTAGAATAATTAAAAACCGAGAGAGTGGTTGAATTTACCACCTAAGTAGTGGCTTGGCATTAAAAACAACACGTTTAAGACGTTCGTACAGCCCCAGTGACAAATTCTTGCGAAAGTGACTGACACCCTGAACCCCCAACTCTAACGTCTTCTCCACGGCTGTGCCTAGAATAGGAATCACCAAAAGCTCTTTATCCTTCCTCCAGGCCTTGATTCCACAGCTGGTAGCTTCTCGGCAGCTGGGCGTTTTCTGATTCCACCTTGTTTAACCTACTCTAGATGGTTTGAAAATGTCTAATCTCACTTGTTTCGTTTTGTGCTGGAAAGGTACTATGGCCCATAAATTTTGCTGCAATCCGTGTTAACTAGGACTTGACCGTGGTGTTCAACAGCCCACAGCTCAGGTGCTATGGCAATCGGTGTAGGTGCTCGTAAAGGGCGATACGTTATGAAGAGTAAAGATAGCACTAGTCGTGGTGGTGCCTTAAGTCATGGTCCAGAAGACCTAGTGGCCTTCCCTTTGGTGGGAGGATCTCGGTGTTCGTATTCACGAAGCCTCGGAGGGCGATTTGGGGTAATTACCACAAGTTGGTCGTTTGAGTGGATTGACTACGAGACAGTGGAGCAAAGGGGAGAGCCAGGAGGGCAGTGTTCGCCAAAAGGTGGCAATTCCATCGGCCAATTGGCTTCCCCGTCAAGACCAGTGGCAGGAGGCGCTGAGTGCAGGTGGTCCACGCCGACATCAGGGGTGGGGAGACATTGTGCCAATCTGGGTGATCGTAAGGCGAGATTGACTTGAAAAAGTGCAAACACACTAGTGCGTAGTGCATGCAACGAATGAGGAACAGACTTTGGCAGGGTGTGATGAAATTGGAGCCTCGAGGTCAGTGTTTGCTTGCTGTCGTTCTGGCCCGAAACCGGTGCGGTGTTATTGGCACCTGCTTTTAACCTGTGTCGTGGGACCATGCTTTGCCGTTACTGTGGGAGTGGTCACGAGGGAGAGACTCAGAGATTAGAAGACGCTGGTTGTGCGATGCCGAATTATGTACTGACTCCAACCAATCGGTTTGGTGGGTGTATCAAATTACGAGACACGGACTTTTGAATTCTTCCTGGCTGCTGATTATGCTAGAAGTTGCAAATTCCAAAGCGTGTTGTGGTTGGCGTGGCACAGTTGTGTGACCTCGAGATCAGGTTTCATGAACCTGTCGTGGAAGCCATGCAACTTTCGAGGCAACAATGCAGGTCTAAAGGTGTCGCCTCTGAACAGAACCCAAGCGGGTTCATCAAAAAGTTTGCTTTTGAAAAGTACTCCAAATACACCACAAGCCTTAGTAGTACTAATCCATGAGATGCAGCGACAAGGCCTACTGGCCAGCGTAACCCCCTGATGTGGCAGCCATGTAGCATTGGCGAGTTACGCAGAGCTTTCCTTTGATTCCATTTCTCCCAGAAAGTACCCAACCTGTGACTAATCTGCCACTGCAATCCACCCGTGAACAATGCGCTGAGCATTGCGGCCTTGCGTCGCACTTAAAACCGGTGCTGGTGAAGTTAGTGTGAACAACAAATTTCCCACCAAATCCGATTAATGAAGAAACCACAGAATCACCAATGTACGAGAAGTAAATGTCGTGACACTGCTTCCTCTGAAAAGGTTGTCCACGAATCAGCTAAGCATGCTGGAGAGAGCAGTGGCGAAATTCATGCCAGCCAGTCGGGCAATGGGTGGACACTGGCAGAAAACTAGAAACTGTGACAAATTTGCGGAATGCGATGCAATAGGCACCGACTTGTGCGCGTAGGTGTTGCAGACATGTGTGCTTTGCCAAGTGGTTCACGAGGCAACTAGGTAAGTCCCGAAGGCGTTTCTCAAGGACCAATTTATTTGGAGACCTGACACTGCTCCCTAGGTGCTCGTTTTACGACTGGTCCCAACTGGACAGTGGTTTCGGTTCTACTTTCGTTAACATGAAACTCACCTTTCCGCACGCACTAGCCAGTAACACTTTCTCATCCAAAAGGATGATTTCACTCGTCTTTGCAAACTAAAGGCATTTTGGCAGTGACTACGTCTGCGTTTTCGAATGACGCGAGACACGAGATGGTGCTGTGGAAAAGCATTAGATTCCTCTGCAGGAGAGGGCCACAGAACGAGCAATGTCGGCTTCAAAAGTGCTTCGATGGAGATGGTGTGCACGTTGCAGATTTGTGGTGCACTTGGTACAATAAACCCGTGTCTGAATTGCGCATTGTGGATGTCTCGCACTTAGGCCCGTGCGATGAAAATTAACCCGTGGAAGCACGTTCCCTCCCTGTGCAGTTCTGTTGGCACGGACGCCACGAGTTGCCATCACTCATTTTGCGCGAAATGCAGTCGGAACATGGTCAGGAACAAAAAAGAGGACACTTGGCTTATATGTGTCTCCTAGAGTTGGAAAGTGTTTAAAGTTGACACGGTAAGCGCTTCGCGGGGACACGGTGAATGACATCAAATTGGTCAGGGAGTGCACAGTGCAACCTATACATTTAGAGCGCAGTTTGTGTTGCTGTTGCTGTTGCTGATGGCGGTGATGGCATTGTCACTGGCGGCTGCGTTGTTAGTCGATTGCTTTGGGCAGCTCAAGAGGAAACTGGTGGTTAAGTCGATGGGTAGAGGGAAGACGATGGTCGAGTGGTGCTCGGCTGCGATCCCCGAGAGTGTTTGTAAGTAGCGGAGTTGAAGAGCAACCGGTTTGTCGTTTAACATCAAACTGGCCTCACGCAGTGCCCGCGAGGCCTTTCTTTCTCCTTCAGCTTGGATCACCTTCAAAAAAGTTATTTGTTTTATAATACTTTTTCCAACCTTTTTACTTTAAGTCTATTTCCCCCGATTTACTTTATAATGCTGTACAAAGGGGGCTCGTTTTTATGTCCAAGTCAATTTCGATTATAATCGTTGTCTGTGATTTGATGTCAGAATTAACTTAACAGTTCTTTTATCAAACCGTATTGTAGCATTACGTCCGTTTGCTTGGTAACCTCTGTGACAGGAGGAATGCAAAATGGCAGCAAAAAACGATATTTTAATGTTTGAATTTGCAGCCTCAATTTTACCATATCAAAATGCAACACATAATCCTGTCTGAAATTGATTGTAAATTAGAGGTATTCTGAAAGGCAAAAAAATTACAATTTATTTTATTTCCACAATATCTCCTTTTTAATGGTTCGCTCCAAAACGGGTACACCAGTGTTAGTTTTTCTTAATGTTATTATGAATCAATCTTCAATTGCAGTGTGAGTAATATATAAAAATAAGACCTACACATTTCTGTTGGATTCAACACCGATGCCGCGTTTTTTGACCACGACTGTTAATCACAACAAGTTAAGATCGTTCTGTGGTGATGCGCTTAGTAACACGAGGATCAGGTTGCAGTGTAAAGATCAGTCAGAATTTCCAGGAGAGCAGGTTATAGGTTACGGCGTTATTTTTTGGCTTTCAAACCATCTGAACTCAACATCTACTTTGCTGTGGGTTTAAACGCACCAAGGCATTAATGCGTACCAGGAACCCTGAATTGACTTTCACACAGGCATCAGAGTCCGCTTGGGTCACAATTGCACAAAGATTTTAAATAAGTCAGGAAAAACCACGACATTATCACAGAATTCCGTCCATGTTTAAACAAATGAGTAATTATTTTACCGCTATTCCAGCAAGATGCCTGATTATGTCCACGAAGAAAATTTAAATAAAGAACAAAATTCCCCATAATAATCAAATGGAAACTTCTAGGTTCAGTGTTTACTCGATCGAACACTTAAAGGAGACATGATAGTCAGTCACATCCACCACTTTGAATCAACAGACTCGTGCGAAGATCCCGCACGATAGGACAGACGGATTGTTGTCTGCGAAAATCCACAATGCGAACTTCACAGACTGGGCATCGATCAAACATTAATTATCGACATATTTCCCAGTGCCCAATGGTGACCATATTGGTCACACTCGCTCCAATCATTTAACGAAGGGGAATAGGGTGCGTGGGTATTTACCTTGTTCACATGATGCTGCACCTCTGGACTTTCTTCTTCGAATGTGCTTAAAACCCGGTCTG